GTCCTGTACTTGCTCTGGAGCTCCTCCTCTCAACAAGCAATGAGAGCAGCCACCTGCCTGTAACACTTCAGAGCAATAAAATACAGAACTGGGGGTTTAAAAGGAAAACAATGACTCTGTATTGTCCAATAGCATTATCAGAGGCTTCTCCCGTACCTTCAAGGGCTTACACTGTCCATTTGTACAGGGCCCAGACTACATTTCCTCTCCCATCCTGAAAGAAGTATGTTTTTGTTAACTACTGAACTAGTCCTTTTAAGAACCTTTCTTTTTCCTTGATACAAGGCACAGTATGAGAAACAAGTAGAGGTTTAAAAGTCTGCAGAGCTAATTTACTTAGCACAACTATTTTAACAACTCAAAAGCCCATCTAAAAATATCTCCATTATTTATTTATTAATAATACTTCACTCATCACCTTTGACATTTATTTTAAAAGAGCTACTTATTAATGAAAGGACAGTGCATTCATTTACTGGAAAAGATCAACATTTCATAATATTTTTATCTCCAAATATTTACATAAATGAAGTCTAACCCTTATTAACTCAATCACTAGCATATTTTATGACATTAAAATGTCAAGAGGAAAAAATTGAAAGAATAAAGTATGTATTTACTCCAAGGCCTCTAAGAGAACTTCTTATCAGCTAATACTGTAATAACATATTAAACTAAAATCTGTGGTTCCTCTAGGAACTTTTAAATTTAAACTTAGAATTCCTAGCAGGGTGTGGGGAGGGAGAAGAGAAGAGCGTGTAATATCAGTGCCTTAATTAAAATTTAAAATAATGAGAGAGAATCTAATGTGGATTAACTAGAATTTACTTAGAGAAAACAATTTTTAAATTTCAGCTGAAGTCAGAGGGTGGTAGGTCAAGTTCTCCATACTGCAGTTTAGGATGTGACTCTCTAGCTGATTGCACATAAGCTCAGCTCTCCTCTTCCACCAAGATAGCTTTAAGGTGGCATCTTGTTAATAACATACATGCTTTTGACAGAGCATGCTGGGTGACTATTAACTGGCTGCCATCAGGGAGGAATTGCCCCCCTTAGGACAGGTTTTTCCATGGTCATTTTACCCTTTCATGACATTCTGCTTTCAATGTGCAAGTGATAAAGACAGAACATTGGATTTCATAGGGCACAACGTTGGATTGTTGGACAAATCTTGCTCTGTTCAGAAACTGAATTATCAGAGAGCAACTTATAATAAAGAGGCTCTGATTAACTAAAGACTCATTGAATAAGCTAATCTAATGTTATAAGTGGAGTTATTCCTGCACTTTTGACATACAGGAGGGAAAGCATGAACTACTAGAGTTAACTCACTGAAACTTTGCACCCCATTCCTTTCCTGGTTTTTGAGCCCATACAGAAGCAGCCTTATCTATTAAGATTGCTGAATTATCTCTGCATGATAAAATTTACTGTAAGCCGATGATAAATTTGGCCATCCTTTAAGACATGAAAAGCTTCTTTTTTTCATTAGTAGGGAATAGTGATATTCCTGAGAATGCCTAAGAGTAAGGAATGGCTGGTCTGAGGAAACAGACCATGACCCGAAGTGGTATAGATGATGTGTCTTCTGTGTAGCAATAATAAATAAACAGTGCTGCAGGGGTGACAGGAAAGCTGCCTGTGACTGCTGTTTAGTGACAACTGTTCATGATCAGGTCAGTAGCATTTTCTGGGCTGTGACTGATAATTTGTGCTGATGCAGTTTGGTTCAGGAGAACCCTCAGGTGCCTGCAGTGCTGTTCATGCTGGGACCTTTCAGCACAGGGGAAAGAGGTTCTTCAGCATAAACAGATCTCAGTTGAGACACACGTTCCTCAGCCTGTCAAACAAACACAGACCCAAGGTCTCTCACTAGTTGTGAGTGGTTGTCATCTGTACGATGTTACTGGAGCTCCAAGCAACTGGCTGGGAGTAGGCAGAAAGCTGTACAGCTGCTGACAGCATTTTCTATGCAAAAAGGGATATGTGCTGGCCATTTCTGGGTGTATTATTATTTATTTATTTATTTTAACGTGTGGTGATGCGTTCATAGGGGTGTGAAGAGAAGGAAAAGTTGAAGACAAATGCCTGACCTACTTTTTCTTCCTTTCTTCTGTTTCCTTTTCTGCTAGGTTTTTCTTATCCCCACTTTTGATGACAAACTACTTTGTTGGCAGGATTTGTCTTGCCTTTCCATGGACGAGGCCATGGAGCTACCTTGTCAGTGCACGTGTGGGATGGCAATGATTTAGTGCAGGAAAAGCAGAGTAGCAGGAGGAGAAGCAAACAGAAGGTACAACAAAACCTCAAATTCTTTAAGGGAGTGTGAAGTTAATGAAGCAGGTTTTTTTAGGCAGACACATTTCTAGCCTGAATGTTTTATATCTATATATCTATCTCCTTATTTTTGTAGTTGAACATGTATTTGCACTGAAAATGGCATGGATATAATTTAGAACATGTACTTTGTCAGTTACAGAACTAATGTTAGTACTGTCTACAGAAGTTTTAGGATGTCAATTGATTTACTGAAATTTTAAACATGATAGAATGCAAAGTTATCTAAAAAAAAAAAAAATTATTATTCTATTTATAAGGAGCTTGATTTGAATCTTTTCCCTTCTTCTTTCCCTTGATGCTGTGTAGGTAGTCTCTTGTAAGACTAGAGAAGTTGTATTTTATTTGCTCTAATTCCTTTCTGTTCAAATGTCATTTGCACATCAGCCACAATAAAATATGAACACCTGGCTTGAGCTAGTAATACCACATGTTGTTGCTACAGGCAACATTTTCTCTTTTGATCTTGTGGATTCTTTCTTTGCTTTTTCCAATAATGTCTTGAAAGTATTGATTAGTGGACAAAGCACCACTTTGCCCCTGGTCTCTTTCTTATTGTAAGAAAAGGAAAAATGTTTTAATGCAACAGATTTGTTAAAGAATAGAGGAATTAAATTCAGTTTCCCTTGTGAGCTCTTTGCTGTCTGGCAAACAGCATTCACATGGACCAAAATGCTTTTTGGGGAAGAGCCTTTATCCAAGGTTGGTCTCTAGGGACTTCTAAATAACAACGGCTCTGTGCCATCTACTATCTATGACCTATGCTGCAGGAGACTGAAAGCTGAAACAGAGATTTCAGGTCTTTAGAACTAGCCAAGAGATGGAAAGCTCTATGAAACAAAATATGACATTTGTTGGACTTCTTGGCTCAGCCTCCACTTCTTTACCTGGTAAAGGGCAAATCCCAAAGCTGGTGTCAGGATGACCAAAGAGAGGGGGGTTTACCTGGTAAAGGGCAAATCCCAAAGCTGGATGACCAAAGAGAGGGGGTTTTTTTGGCATGTGTTTCCTAGGCACAACTGGAGTGGGTGTATACTGGAGGTGTCAGATGTGATGTTGGAGTCTTTGGACTTGTGGAGACCCCTTGTCTCCTGTGGATAGAGTTGTTGTGGAAGAATTCTCTTATATTAAAGTACTTTGTCAAGTTTGCTGAAAATTAATTTTTAAAACAGAAATTCAGAGAGCCAGAAATGAGGACTGAGAATCTTAGTCTTAAATGTACTTATCATATGGTCAGTGCCTGCTGGAATGAACTGTAGGCATAAATCCCTGAAAACAGTACCCTCTTGGGAGTGTCAGTGTCCATTGACAGCCTTATGACATAATTTTTCCATTGAGCTTTTCAGAAACCTGTCATACCACACTTCTGTTTGGCTGGCTACCAGGTGAATATACAAGGGACAGAGCACATGAAAAAGTCCCTTTACTAATTACATTTAAAGGAAAGAATAGATATTTTCAGTTTCCTTGATAGAATTTTGAAGATGAGTATAATATTTTTAGCTGTTTTTCTGTGTTTGTTTGGGTTTTTTTCCCTCTTAAATAGAGGGAAAGCAAAGGCATTTTACTCTTGGTGATTTCAGGGCAGGCAGCTGTCACCTTTCTCCTAGTGAGGTCTGTATTTACTGCCTGGTGCTTCTCTCTGCTGGAGTAGGAGGTACAGCTCGTGTCTCTGTATTCACTCTCACTCAGACAGTGCAAATATGTAGAGAAGGACAGAGAGCACATACCATGTGGCAGACATGAACTCACTTATCATGAATGATGCTGCCAGCTGTCACCTCTGGCAGAAATTTGCCTCAGTACCACTGCCAGATCAACTCATCCCCACTGGATATGTTTAGCAATGCAAAACTGAATTATTGCTCTTGCTGTGCCAGTGTGATGTTGAAACAGAATGGCCTGGATTTGTGTCAGTTTACTTCAGATTCCTGTACTGGATAAGTGGGGATGTAGGGGTTCAAGGTCCCCTTTCTGTCAGTGGCAAGAGATCAGCATTTTCAGATTTAGTGCTGCCCACCCAGGATGTAATTCAGCATCTACAGGTACCGTTTTCTTCCTCTTGTGCACAAAATGTGCATGAATCTACTAGGTTTAAAGTTAAGGGCCTCTGTTTCATGCCTAAAGCTTTACAGGGTGAGCCAAAATCAAAATGATGCAGTTTGTTAGAGAGTACAGCAGATTCAGAAACCAAACTTTAATGTGCTCATCTCTCTGCTGATGTAATTTATAGCCCTGTAATGCTCAGTTCCCCTAAAATTTGTAAAGAATAACAGAAATACTCAGAAGTCAGGTTTATGTCTTGGAATGACATCAGGGTCCTTGGGTGAGAGAGACAAGGAGGCTGAGCATGTCATAATAATGTAAATGTGCAAGAAAAGTGTTATAATCAGCAACAAGGTACTATCACCCCACTTTCTGAGTCAATTCCCCCCTACACCCAACCAGAGCATTAATGAGCATCTCAAGTATCTGAGCTGGTGGAGAAGCTGGAATTAACAATGTTTTAACATAGTCTGTGTTTGGAGAGTTTCGCAAAGAGAGAATTGTTAATGAGTAATCCTTGTCCATTAGGGCACTGAGCCAATGAGCCCAAGCTTTGATTCATTGTGTTATCACTACAGGCTTCTGCTAACCCCCAAAAAAACCAAAACAAAAAAGTTCCTGTGTGAGAATCATTAGGATACTGCACTGAGCACAGAACTGTCTTACATCCTGCCATCTGCATTCTTCCAGAAAAGAACAGTAAGTAATAATTTCTTAAACTGATAGCTCTTGCTGTTATGTAATAGAAAAGTAATTTTCTCACCTGAATTATTTTATGGATGTTAATGGATTTTTTACCAGAAAAAAAAAAAAGCTAGCATTGTATTGAAGAATAATAAAAGAAGTAATTTCAGCTATAAAACTGGTGCAACAGAAGGAATTCCCCTTGGTAAAAGTGTTAAGGTCCTGAAAAATCATGACAGTGTTGGAATTTGTCCTGAGAAAGCTGGCTTCTGTGTCTGTGTGTCACTGGAAAAGAAAGCACAACTTTGATACGGATTCTTTCCTTCAATAAAACTATCTCATTAATTATGTCCATCAGCTTTGAAATTGTACTGGTTTGTACAAATTTTTTATCTTTTTAGGAACTGAAAATTTTTCACATGTTAGTAATGGGAGGACAGAGGACAAGCCAGAAAGGGAGCAGTTTTGTTTGTTTTATGTGATTTGTTGAACGGTTTTGTGTGCAGAATCCAGGTGCATCTTCCGAAGTCCAGGACTTTTGTGCTTATCACATAACTAGTACAAGAAAAAGGGAGTTTCACATTTCAAGTAACTAGTATTTGAATCCATGGACAGTTTTTAAGAAAATGTAATTATTTTTTTTAGTGTTCCTACTAACCATTTATCTTCAGAAAACTATAATTGTGGTATGACACATTTGGCTTTTGTTATTTTTATTGCTATTGCTTGTGTTATAGAGAACGTAGAGATCCCAAACTAGATTGGGATTCCAGTAGTCTAGATGGGAATCCAAAACCAGATTAACAAAGTAGGATTTGCAGTTGTATTAGTTTAGACAGAAAAAGATACTGGAGAAAGGAAAACACACAGAAATGGGGTTGAGCAGGTCATCCCAGGGACAATCAGAAGCTGGTTCACTCTTTAAAGTTACTTGCTTATCTACAGAAATGCCTCTGAGATTTCTGGTAGACATTTCAGTTTTACTTGTGATTGATTTAGAGTCAGAATTAGACTGTAAGAACATTCTATACTTTTTCTGTGTCCTGTGTCTCTTCATTGGTCTGATTTTTAACATCACATTGAACAATCTAAACAGTAAACTTCAAAGACAGTAACACCAGTCATGCCTATGGTTCTCAAACTTGCTCATATTGTAGCTTGTTTTTTGCATCAGTTGAGTGTAGCTGCCCATCGTGCCACGTGTGCTGAAATGGTCTGGCAGCAAAAGGCTGGAAACATGGAGCACAAATCTTCCTAATGCTTTCATGTCTGTTTGATATCCTTTCAAACAAACAAGCAAGCAAATAAAAACCCCTCTCCAATAAGTGAGGCACTGCACTAAATGTTCTACAAAAAGGCCAGATCAAAAGCCTGTGAACTAGGCAGGAATCTTCCCATTGATGTTAACAGTGTTTGGGTCAGATCATAGATGAATGATGTGACAGAAATTTCTCTTTGAGTAAATGGCAGCCAAATGTGTAAAGAACAGGATGATATTACGGGACAGAAGGAGGGAACTGCACCTCACTATATTTGTGAAAAGTTTTGCCAGTGCTTTGATATATTTTCTTTTACTGAGCAATTGAAATAGATTCAATTATTCTTCTGAAGGCAAGATGCAATAGGGCTATCATGGAGCTTTCCTGATGATCAAACGTATTTTTGCTTATCTGAAAGAATGGGGCTATGATGCTTTTGTCTTTTAGTAAGCCTAGTTGAATTTAATTTTAATTTTAATTGTTTCATTAAGAGGCTTGGCTTTGCTTACACAGAACCCAGAGGAAACTTCAGTATTGACCCTGGCAGGGTCAGAGGTAGTCCACTGATAATAGACCACAATAAATCTGAAACCTACACCCGCATGAATATGTGAATGTATATATATTTGTATACTCCCATGAACGTATATCCTGTAAAAAAGCTGAGTATGTATACATGTGCATACACACAGTGAAATAACAAGCCACAGATATAGTCATATAGATCTCGGTTTTCCCAGTTAAACGCAGAATACATAAACATGCACCACGTGACTGTTCTTAAGTATGCTAAAGGATTCATCTAATAAAGTTTGATGTAATTCAGAGCTTTTAATATGCAACTGATTAGAACAGTCTCAAGTAATTAGGTATATTTTTTATTTTATGCATACTGATTGCTGGTTTTCGTTGTATATTTTTGGCCTATGAAAATAATCTCAAAAGCTAATGGAGCAAATAGATTTATTAACAAGTTAATGAAAATAATTATTTGGGAAAAAAAAGCTTTCACTTATCCCGTGCCTCTTAATTTATCTTGAGGGGCTCTTATTTTGAAGAACAATATAGATTTCCTGCATTTGCATTTATTTCAGCTTTTACATATCTGTCTGATGTACTTTTTTGTTAAAAAAGAATAGCATAGCAGTCAAATTGGCCATGGTAGCCTAGATTAATCTTGATAGCAGCAGCTAAAAGACGCATTTAATTTAAAGAAGCAAGCATGAGGTAGAGATACCTATAAATGTTTAGTCGTACCAAACATGCCTGTGAATAACAGCAAGAAGCATTACACTATTATGTGGTTTTGTCTGAGAATGAAGAAGAGCTGAGAAAGAAGTTACTGATCCCAGTCCATGTAGATGAAATCATTTTGGAAGCCGAGATGACATAACTTTGTTACCAGCCAAAAAAATGATTCAGACACAATTTCTTAAAAGAATAATTCTGCCAAGAGGTTCTGTGCATAGGTGACACCCTTTGTCACCCAGCCATGTTAGTAGCAACTTTGGTGCCTCGTATGTCTGGTGGATGTGACTATCCCACTGGCCACAATACTTCTGCTCCATGGAAGCTGCAGCCAGCTGAGACCACAGCTGTTTAACTGCAGAAGCAGCCTGGGAGGATTAGGCTGAGAAGAAGCTAATGATGGGTTGTGCATTGTGGCACTGGCTCTTTGAAATGAGAGTCCACCCCTGGACCTGTGATGCCTTGTGACACCTACTTATGGTGGCCTATACCATTTCCCAGAACTGAGCAGTGTGTGGAAAAAATAGGGCTTAAATGCTCCATATTGTGTACCTGCTGTAGGTCTGAAAGCTGGAAATCAGTAGCTGCTGCTTTTAAATACTGGTGAAATTAATTGAATAAATATAATATAGGATAGATGGCTCAGAACAGGCTGGATTCAAGGGCAAATCAAAGCAAAATCTCAATCAGTATTTAATGAAGAGTTTGGTGTTCAGGCAAATATACAGTAGCAAAGCTACATTGAATTGAAAATAAATTTCCAGCCTTTTTAATGTAAACATGTCTTGTGCCTTGCAGAAATCCCCAGAAGACAAGATTATTCCATTAAGTCCACTAAATGGTCTACATCAGCTGAATATATTTAAGAAAATGAATTACTAAAAAGGGTGGGAACTTTAAAATCATAATGAATATTTGACTTGAACTGAATCCATCCAGATTAAAATTAACATGGCAGGAGGGATAGAGAGACATAACCTGTAATGTCCTTGCATACTGGGAGGTTATGACAAATATATCCTCAAGTTTCTTACTATAAACAAGGCAGGAATAAAGCAACAAAGTTTGTGTGTGTGTATGTAAAGAACAACAGATTCAAAGAAGTCTGCCTTGAAGTTTAAGAGGGACATTATCTAATGATGTTAAAAAATGTAGTGACCTCAAAGAAACAAGTTTATAGTCATTTCAAAGACTGTAGAAACACAGGCACTATATTAGCATTGAAAAAAATAGCTTGCTTGCTTGCTTTCTCCTTTATTTGCAGCACAGACTAGACATATGCAGGATAGATAACTTCCAACCCAAGAAGCTATGTGTTGAAAGTCTGACTGTATCCCAACAGTTTAACAAAATACCTTAAAATGGAGTCATATTAGGACTGTCTTTAAAGTATTTTCATATAGCATCCAGCATTTCCTGAGAAGGTAATTTCTAGATTCTGTATGAACACGTAGAAATTCACAATCCCACCACTGACATGTCAGCTGTTGCAGTGTTATCTCCTCATATAGAGCCTGAGGAGGAAACACGAGAAGCAGTAGTAGTGATGATGGAACATAATCTTCCAATCTGGCTTCAGGGAGAGCTAGTCCTGCAAGAAACTAAGGGCTACACACTTGTGAGCTGTAAGAAAGCTATCAAGGGCTTCAACAAGAGAAGAGGGTGGGCATGGCCTACCTCCTCTGGTCTTCAGCAAGAAAATTCAGAGAAACATGCAGGAACCCTCTGGAGATGACTCATTTTGATGTTTCTCTTGGTGAGTGCTAGAACTCTTGTAATGGTCTGTAACAGGAACCAGCTCCCAAGGGTCTGACATGGTCAGTTCATGACCAAACTGTATGTCAGGAGTTGTAAGACTTTTGCAGCCATCTGGGCAGCCCTACCTCTTGAGTCCAGCAGATACCTTCCCCAGCAAACATGGTAACGAGGCATTAAAATGCTTGGAAGTAGCAGTGGGCCTACTGGGATGGCTGGGCTGGTTGCCAACACCCATCCTGGGATATATGGAGTTTTTTTGCTGTTGCAAAACTGTTTCCGTGCTAGATTTGAGGCTGTGTGTTTATATGTTATTTGCCACAAGAACCCTATCTGGTCTGTGATACAAGTAGCTTTTGACATTTCTGAGTAAACTGTTTAAATTATGTGTGGGCAGACATTTAAAATGCATCTGTCTAATTAGAGGGCCTTTGTTTATGTTAAGAAAGAACTTAATGAATCCTTACAGACAAATCTGAATATAATTACAGTGTGCTTGCCACTCTCACAAGCTGCTTCCCAGTCAGCTCAGCACTGGGGCCTTCTGCTACACTCACATTTTTGTCAGATGACTTCACTTCTGCTTGAGAAACATGCTGAGCCCTCACTGAGAAGCCAACAGGGCTGCAACTCTCAAATGCCTGCAGTGAGTGGAAATGCAGTCCCAGGGACAGTCCCATGGGAATAAAACTTAATAAAGGATTAAGACTATAAACAAAGCAAAACATATTTTTGTCAACTTTATGCAGAATCTTCTTAGTGTCTGCATAAACGCTTGAGATGTCTCCTTGCTGGAGCTGTACGTTCTCCTGTTGCTGGTGGTCCTGCTTCAAATGCAATCTTGAGTTGCCCCATCCCACCCACATGAGCCAGACCTGGGCAAGGGAGCCTCTTGCACACCTTCCTCCTGGATGTGGTGCTGCTACAGCTACAGCTTCTGCTTCAGTAGGAGACAATGGCAGATCTCTTGTGTCTTATCTAAGAGAGTGAGAAATAAAAGACCTGAGTAAAGTGCCCCCGTCAACCTCAGGAGACAAGAACTGCTCCATTTGACCTGGTAGGAAGTATGTTAGTGAGTGGACCACAAGCATCTCCCAACCTCCCCAAAGTAGAGTTATAGAGTATATAAACACACACATATATATATGTACATATATTTCACACAGATTTATACAGCTGTGTGAAACCACAAAAGAAACAAGCAGGAGAGCCTGGTTCTTTAACAAAGATTTTCCTTTCTGTAAAAGTAGTAAAATTACTAAAAGAAAATTGCTTCTGTCCTGGCTCAAGCCAGGATACTGTTTTTGCCACCGTTTATCTTGTTCAGGCAGTAATTACTGAGGGCAAGATAAAGAGCCAGTCACTGGAAATTAAACTCAAGTTTCCTGACTTGGTTTTTCTGACCTAACCATAAACTTCTACTTTGTCACTAAGCAAAAGCAGTGAAATGATGAAAGAGTGATGGAAAAATAATGCAAACAAATTATATTCCCTGGAAGCAGGGGCTGGGCAACATGCCCTCAGCAGGTCAGGCCAGTGCTTCAGTCTGTGAATATTTGAACAAGGTTGAGCATAAACTGCCATTAGTTTTAAATGAAGAGCAGTAGGCTGGCAAATAAAATATGCCACAACAAGGAAAAAATAAACAAACTAGATGCAGCATTTTATTTAAAAGCTGAATTAGACATCGTATCTTCAAGCCAACATTTATTACACTAAATATTGAAACAACCTCCTGAATTTTGCCTAACAACAGGTACACAAAAAATAGTTATCTGGTTTTAAATATTGTTTTTGCTTTATATCTTTTAGGGTCTCCTTTCAACCTGTTTTTTAATTAGCATATTTCTCTTGAACTGAAGAACAAATGGGATCTGAAATGAATTTAATAGGACATCACCAGCTAGCCACTGCTGATGGATTTTCTCTTGCTGAAGTTCCTCACTTATTTGGTAAGTCACAAAATTAGTTTAAAATAGCTAGCTATCCTTCACTTGGAAACCTAGAGGAAAATACACTGAAACTTCAGGTCAAGGATAGGTAGTTGGCATGTGCCAACTTTCTTGAATCTACAGTAACTATGGAAGGAAAAACAAGTACGAGGTTAGTGGTGTTAATGTCATCTTACATGCTATTGCTCTCATCACTGCTCATAGCAGAGCCTGTAGGTTGTTTTTATGGCACTGTTCTAATACCTGAAATCACTCAGCAAAGACAGACCTTTGTATGTAGCCTGGATGTTATCTTCATGTGAATAATTTAAATCAAGCTGAGCACATATATTTTCAGTTCATTTGTAGTGAAATTATTCTGCAATGTATGTGCATTGCTATATTATGCAAATTCATGAAAGTAATTTCACCTAAATTAAAACCATTGTCATATTGAAACCATTAAAAACTTACACTATTAAATTCAATGCGTAAGAAAATTTATAATGCAGGCTGGAAAATTTTCCTTGCTCTAGTTCCACTGATTTTTTTCAAGGCTATGCAGGAGTTGTTAATGAATGAAGAATTCTTGGTCAATATTTTATAAGCATGGAGAAGCTGTCTTCTGTTAGATGTACTCCTAAGGAAAAAAAAATAAATAGAATAATACATTTTTTAGCCTTTCTTTTGGCAGCAGAGGGGATACATGATACATTCAGGGCCTCAAACACAATGCAGACCCCCACAGAAAGCTGCAACAATTCAGAAGTTTCCAGTCCAAATAAGACCAGAATTCTGTCTTTTTGAGTGCTGGAAAAACTGAAAACATTTCAGTTTGATCTATCTGAAACAAGAATAATGGCTTGGGCATGGAGGGAGTCTGACACGTGGAGTCACTCCTGCTGCAGAGCTCTAAGAATTTGAGATGATCTCTCCAAATCAGACCATTTCCAGTCTTCTGCCTTCATACAACTAAACTGAAGTACTACCACTAATCATAGACAACTCCCATTGCATTACTGTTATTGGATTTTTGTCTAAATGTGTTGGATTTTGGTGGGAGAAACGTTTTTGCCGTTGTTAAAAAAGTATATGTAAATAGCTAAAACACTTCCTTGCTACCTGTTAATTTCAATGTCAGGCCATGACATAGAAAGAAAACACATTTTCTGTCCAGTCATCCCTTTAAAAGTCCTGCATAACTGAACTGCTTCACATTTTGTCAGGAAGAGTTTTCCCCTTATGTCTACTTTTTCACTAATTATTTCACTATTTTGAAAGAGTAATGATTAGGTAGCTTCGAAATATAAGGAAGCATGTAAATGTAAAATACTTCCCCTCCACATTAAAACCTTACTCAGAAACTGTGAGGTCTTCAGAAGAGGGATTTTGTCTCCCATTATAGATGTTCAAAGCTCAGCACAATGGAGATTTAATTCAAACTGACATTTCTGTAACAGAAAGTAATAAAGTATTAGGGGTTGAATCAGCAGTCCCCTTTAGGAAGGAGACTTACCCTCCTGCTGTGTTTCACTTAAGCTGACTTCTGTTTTGTATAGCCATTTGGTCCTGTTTTCTGGGATGTCACTCAGCTCTCAAAAATGAACTCTTTGCAAATTTGGTGTCTTTCACTTTTATAGCTGAAGAAAACTTCAGAAATAATATGCACCTGAGTCCACAAAGTTGCTCATTGTGAAAATATTACTCCATCTCTTCAAAATGCATGTAGGAGATGGCCTCAATTTTATATTTGTAAACTACTCACATTTTTTTAATGTTCAGTTTTGGCAGGTACAGACTTGTTACCCCAAAGAAACAGGAAGAAAGCTTTTCTTCTAAATGACCCTTAGAACATTCATTTCGCTCAGGACTCCTCACACATTACAGCTGATGTAATACAATGGAGAAATCGCTGGCTTAAAAAACATCAGCCTTCACACAAAAGTCTCCTTATTCAAAGATGCATACTCACATTCTGTACAAAACCTTGGGAATATATTTTCTTCTCATGCTTCACTCAGTCTTCGGGTAGAGTGTTCTTAGACCTTCAAAACCAAATTTAAGTGCATCTCCAAACATTAGCACCAGGTCCAGGTCTCTCAAAATAAATGCTGTCAATTTTGAGTTGCTTGTGCTGTGAGCCTCATCATCATGGTAATTCCAGGGAAGTTCTACATACCCTCAGGATTTCTGGTTGTAGCAGATTTCAGACAAGTTTAAACAAATAAAAAAAGAAAAGTTTTCTCCCTTTCAGTAGTTGAAAATTGTGTGTTGCTGTTTTAATAGGGTATGTCTACAGTAAGCTATCTCCTGGCGTCATTGGAGTTTGTGTGTTTAAACTGTAGTTTTTCACTTCTGTAGCTACAAGTTCCCAGAAAAAGGGGCTCAAAATGCAAATTAGGAAGGATCTTTAACCTAGCAGAAGTCAGGGTACTTCCTTTCCACCCTGCTTTCCTGGTAAGCTGCTTCTATATTTCTGCCTCACTACCCAGGTGATTTAGAAACATCTTAGATCTCTTCATAGAAAACATCTTTTTGAAGAAGTATTCAAATGCAGATGTGTAAAATGCATCCTCTACAGCATCTGCATGCAAGATCAACTTTTTCTTCTTTGCAGCTATTTTTCCAGTGAGGGAAAGGGAATATTAATGACAAGAAATCCCAGAGGTGCATGGATTTCCAGGGAACCTGTCCTGTTAAGATATTTCTTTTCCTCAGACAAACAATGTATTTTTTATTTCTCAAGCCCTAATGAATTGAACTGGGCCCACCAAATGAAGATTGGTCCAGTTTCACATCCTGAATTAAGAGAAAGTGTCACACCTACCAATCTGCATTATTAGCCTTTGTAATTTAGGACTGAAATCCTGATCTTCAAAACCTTTGGGTGCTTTGTAGTTCACTTTGGAGCCATTAATTTGTCCCATGGACACTTCTACCATGAGAGATGTAGACTGATCTGAGCTCCTTCACTTTGCTCCAAACTGACTGGACACAAGACATGACCTAGAAGACACTGAGGTACATTAGCAGAGCTCTGGGCTGAAGCTGATGAGCCTTGATCTAAGACTTGACAATTCAGCTGGGACAGCAGAGTGTTGCAAAAAGGGATTTATTAACATATTTCAATTGCCTTCAAAAGCTTTCCATATTAGAACCAAAACGTGCTAAATACCTGTATCTCACTCATTTCTTCCAATGGTTATCACTTGCCCTTTTTTACAAGGGACTGAACATATTTGCAGACACCAAAAATGTCTCCTTCACATTATAAATGTACAAGGTAAACTTATATATCTGTATGACATCTGAAATATATATGGCATTTGACTCAAGCTGTCATTGATATGCTGAGTAAGTAGCAAACCTTTAAAGTAATAGTCCCATTCTATTTTCTGTGAAAGCATCTTACACAGGAGTGAAGAATATGCAAGGTATTAAGTATGAAACTTCAGCTATAAGATGATGGAATTATTTCTAAAAAGATAAGTCACTACTATTATGTGTTTAATTTTACTAAATACGTATTTTTAGTATTTTTGGTGTCCTGACAATGTTTTCTTGTAATGTGACATCCAAATATAACAAAACAAGAAATGCCACCCTCATTGTACATCCCCACCTGAGAAAGAAGTTTTTGGGACGAATGAGCACTTGTAAAAGCTGTGTTGAAATGGACAATAAAGAAGAAACAAAAAAATTACAAGTAACAAAGGGGAAAAGAAAGCAATACATTTAAACTTATCTCAAGCATTTGACAATGTAAGAAAAACACCATGACATTGTTATTGTAGGCAAAGAACAGTGCCTAAGATGAGCACAAAAGTCTGACTCCTTTGAGATACATTTGTATGTGTTCTGCTTATGCTGTTTTGTTTTGAAAAAAAATACAAATATTAGGATAAAGTGTCCAAACTGATTTAACAGCTTCAAGATCACAAGGTATGTTAAATAACTATTTGTTTTCGCACCACCTGGCAGATGATCCAACATCTGGCTTCAACCCTGCAGAGAAGATAATTAGGCCCGTAGCAGACCCCCAAATCAAAAGGAATCTAACCAGCACAAATTAAAACAGAAATTAGTGTGCAATAATTATGAAGAGAGCCAAACCAAACAGAGTGGCAATCCGAGAAAAAAAATGTAACAAGAAGGAATGCAGGTGAACAGGGCCATGAGGGTGAAGGTTGCAACACCAAGCAAGGCAAAACCAAAATGGTGGACTTCAACCACGCTAATATTTGCTGGAAGGGCAGCACAGCCTTGCACGCAGAGTCCTGGAGGGCTAAAAGCAAAGATTGTCATTGGGAGAATGGATTCACCAAAGGGAAATCATGCTTCATCAATCTGATTGTGTTCTACTACGCTTTAACTGTCTGGGTAGATGAGGGGGAGCAATGGACATTATCTACCTTGACTTCAGCAAGGCTTTTGACGCTGTCTCCCATAACATCCCCACTAGGAAACCCAGGAAATATGGGCTAGATGAGTGGTCAGTGAGGTGGATTGACCTGGGACTCTTTAGCCTAGAGAAGAGAAGCCTGAGAGAAGACCTTATTAATGCCTACAAGTATCTAGAGGATGGGTGCCTTGAGGTCAGTAACAACTCATAGTACAGACTCTGCCCACTCTAGAGAGGGTTAGAGTTACATCTATGTCACATAGATAGAGACTTGATCCTTGACATTTGGCCTTGGGGCACTCTTCTATCTTGTCGTACAGATGTGTCCAATATAGGCTGAGGACTTTGGCCTTTTATTGAGAATAAAACATTTATGTGCTTTTAAGCACATAATCCAGTCAGCTGACACATGCTGCTTGTGATATTGAAGTGGTTAATCTATAGCACAGAAACACCTGATATGTCTAAATATTTATTGATAGAAATTTGGCAGTAAATAAAACATAATAGGTACAAAACTACAAGGCTGGGCTACTTGGAGGCATCCCCTTGAATGGTAACCAAATTTTAGCCAGGTAAATCCACGCAGGGAATGGATATTGCTATTGTTTCAGACAGTTACAAGCAAGTTTCTCTGCAATTAAGTTAATCAGTAAACTAAATAACCTCTGGCCTATGTCACTCCTTTGCTAGCCTTAAAGAAAGTTCTCACAGTAAAGAAGTCAACAGGATATGGACAAAGAAGAAATAAGAAGTTTTATTTAAACTGTAGTTTTTACTGGGGGGAAAAAAGGAAAAAGAGAGGGAAAGGAGGACTGGGTACCTTAACAAGAGTACTTTTCTTCAAGAACTGCTCAGACCAAAGACTGCCTAAGGTAGGATATTGTCATATTCTTGGTTGGACATGTTTGCCATCTGTTCTTGCATTCTTCTTTGCAACTGTAGGATGCTAGAAGGTTGTTTAAACTAAGTGATCTCTAAAGATCTGTATAAATTGTTTGGAATTAAATCAGGATTTCATTAGTAGTTATGCTATGGTTTCCAAATTACTTAATTCTGAACCTTGTTCTTATTTCTTAAAGTTCCTTCATGAATATTGTACAGAAAGTCAGACATTTGTATTTTAAGCCTGCTTGGAATTTTTTTTCTCTTCAATTAGCTTTATATTAATGGAAAAATAACTTTCAGTAAAATGTGATCTCGTAATTTCTGTAATATTCTGACTGCAAAACACCTTCAATCTGCACATACCCTCAGTATAATTCTGCAAACTGTAAACATGTTCTTTAGTTCTTACAAGGAAAATTCCCTTTCCTTTCTACATTGTTTAGTTTATATCAAATATTTTTTCAAGTCTTATGTAAAATATTCTGTGTAAAATTTAAAGTAACAAAAGCAAAACTCACCAATGAGTTTCAGTTGCAAGTGGGACTGTGAAAATATATGGGTAAAATGATGACCACATCCATGTGAAAGTTCCACTTTGACATTAATATGCTTTCCAGATTTATGTAAGATGTTTTTCATTGAAAAACATTTATTTGCAAAACTTTATCTAAATGATTTAGTGCTGTAAGTAATATCACATTTGCGTGTGCTTGGACTGTGACACTTTCTTTAAAAAGGTAAAAGGTATGCTTCCCAAAGGGAAAAACAGGTAAATGTTCAAAATAGTTAACACCACTCAAACATAAAATAGAGCTGTGTTCCAGTGAGCTTGTTTCTGATTTCACTTTCACTGCTTATACTACTGCAACTCCAGCCACTTCAGCGGGCTATTTTGTGTGTTACAGCAGTGTAAGACCAGCCCATCTCAGACTTCTACTAATATATATCTGGATAAAAGTATATGTGCATTCCAGTTAGCAAGATAAGATTAGTTTCCTTTTGTGATAAGAAACTGTTTGGTCTAGACTCACATGTATTTTGCAAAGCATAATTCCAAAAATCAGTGTGGTTTTCAAACGTGGCACAAGACAGAGCAGTGCACCATATACCTCTGAAAGCAGAACCTCTCCAGCTTTCCTTGGAAGCCTTGTGAACACATAAGGCTGGGGAACATAGCTTCTGTCAACCCTGCTTGTTCTTCCCTTTCCCTTCCACTGCTCTGAGCATGCACTCAGTTCAGATGGATGGTTTAACTACATGCCCGACGCTGAAGGAAAGAAATAGATAAAGGCTGGTTGTTTTTTTCTCCTGTATTTGACTTCATACATTAGGACTCAGATTTTTTTTGTTTGTTTCCACAAGGAGCAGAGTTAATGATTGTGAAGATTTTTCTAAATATAGTTTTCTAAACACTTCTAAACGGTGAAACACCCAGCATTGCCTTTTTAGCAGACTTGGGTTTTTTAACAAGCCTTCAAATTTATTTATTTAATTTTTTTAAATTTTTTTTTTTTTTTTCTGTGTAAAGGGTATTGCCTTCTCTTCTGGCTCTTTCAGAGACCCAAGCAATTCAGGAGGCTGGTATAGAGTTTTTGTGGAATTTCTGTGTATGGCATAAAGTTAAAAATCAACAGTTACTTCCTTTTCATTCTGGGATTGTCCCACGTTCCTTCAGCAAGCTCAATCAACAAAGTAATAACTAACTAGCAAATGAAAACTTAGGTCTCCATGGTGAACAGATTCCTTTCCAAAGAGAGACTGAATTGTTTCTATAATGATTGTGCGTCTCACAATCAACCTGAAGTACCTTGACCAGTCTTCATGAGCAACAGTCTCAACAAATGGTAAATATAATTAAAGACAGACCACCCACTCCTTATTGTCCTCACCCTTTATGTATTTTGTCACCTTGCAGCTGGCAGGTATCAGTGACAGTTTGCATTTGATGCATAAAGTGGTAACATCACCTCCAAGCTCTTCCATAGAGTCCCCAGATGCCTGTATTTTGTCTCAGGTCTCCATATGTCTGTGCTGTTTATTTAAAGGGCATGAACTGGGTTTGGGGAGTGCTTCCTGATACTCTGCTTCTGCTAGTGAAGTACTTAGGGCCTTTGCCTCTTCTGGAGCAACTAAATGCAACCATAATTACACTAATTGTAAATAACAAATAGCACCATTATTCTCATTTGGTCTTGTGTCACATTCTTCCAGACTTACATCTTGCTGCTTATTCTCGAGCTGAGACCTCAACATTTGCTACTGGCAAAGATATGCTGTGGGCAATACAGCAGTCACACAAATCCAAAACACTTGTATGGCTTCTGCAGCACCATAAAGGGCAGAAGGCTGCAGAGCAAGAGCGTGAGACCTTGAAAGTGAATAAGTAGGTGAAACGAAAAGGTTAGTTTCTGGCACTAATTGAAGTGAGACAAAGGAGAGGGAAGAATGCCCTGCTAGAGATATTAATTATTGTTGTCATTACAGATGTTCCCTCTTCTTAACTGTCAGCATTTTTTCATTGTTTCTGATTCCTTAGAAGTAAAGGAGCCTTGTCAGGGAACCAATTTTATGTCAGCAAAAATATTTTTTTGAAGTGCTTCTGAAGCACTGTTAAGTAATGGTCACCAATGAACATTAATCTATGATTTCCTTGTAAATAATGTTGTCAACTCCATTAAGAGAGAGACTCAGCATCTTCCTGGAAATATGCATTATTTTTCTCAGATTCTCTTCTTGGAACTAATGAAGGACTTGTGTCAGTGTTTCCATGAAACTGCAAGATGTGGCTCTCTACAACAGAAAATATGAAGTAGTTTGCAAATAACTTTTAATTTACTCTTTTCAACTGTTTGACATAGAGTTGGTTTTAATTATGCCGTTCAGGGACTGTTGTTGTGCTTGTAGTATAGAAAAAAAAACACAACAAACAAAAACAAATCAAATTTATGTAGTTGGAATTTTTAAATCTGCTATTTAATAGGCAAAGTTAAGGTAGCCTCCAGATACTGTGTCAATCCCAACAGGAAACGTTGCCATTCCTCGTAGCTCTGCCAGGTTTGCTGTTGGCTGGGAGATGAGTAGTACTGGCTTGCAGGGGTGCCTCATATCAGACCCACACAACTTCACTGAGCTTGTAGAGGCTGGGGTGGGGAGCAGCCTGCAGGGGCGGGTTGGTTAGCCACTGGAGGCTGGATTGCAATACAGTTGTATTTCACCACTGAAAAAGGGTAAATTTAGGTTAGATATTTGCAAGAATTTCTTCCTCCATGAGGGCAGTGCTGAATGAGCACTGGAATTAGTTGTTGAGGGAGGTTGTGGTTGTAGATGCTCCCTCCCTGGAGGTGTTCAAGACCAGGCTGGATGAGGCTTTGTGCATCCTGGTCTGGTGTAAGGTGTCTCTGCTCATAGCAGGGAGGTTAGAACCTGATAATCTTTAAGGTCCATTCCAACCTTAACCATTCTATGATTCTATCATACTATATTATTAATATCTTCCCTATTCCTTCATGGTAACTTCACTTTCCCCTTTCAGGCTTTTCTTAAAGGTTTATTTCATATTCTTAGTCTTCTAATTAAGCCTCACTCTTGTCATCTTTCCCCAGTGGGGTTTTTCCCTGTCAGGGGAGTTGAATCTAGATTCTAAGGTCCTTTCCAACCCAAACCATTCTATGATTCTATGACATATTCATTGAGAATTAAGTAGAAATTAACATTATTAACTTCACTTTCCCCTTTCAGGCTTTTCTTAAAGGTTTATTTCATATTCTTAGTCTTCTAATTAAGCCTCACTCTTGTCATCTTTCCCCAGTGGGGTTTTTCCCTGTCAGGGGAGTTGAATCTAGATTCTAAGGTCCTTTCCAACCCAAACCATTCTATGATTCTATGACATATTCATTGAGAATTAAGTAGAAATTAACATTATACTTGAGTCTTGATCTAACTTTCACCAATGCCATGGGATTTTTGGCTCCTGTTTGGTTTTCTTTCATTCTGCTGTGAGACCTAATTTGGATTGCTAGCTTCTCTGTGGTGTGGATTGCTCTTCCTTGTAAACACATTTATATGATTAGCTGTATGGTATTCTCCAAGATTTTTTAATGTGTCAGTGATGGACATTTCCATCAATAATAAAGGCATAGCTGAGAATGGTTGAGTGAGTTTTAAAACATCTTGCAATCTATTTGTGTAGGACCAGGACCACAGCAAATCTGAGTCCAGATAATGCAGTCTTTATGATTGTGCCTTGTTTTTTGAGATGGATGCCTGAAAGTGGAAACTTCTACTGTAACTGCAGTTTCATGGTAGCAATAAAAATTGGTTTTGCATTATTATTTTTCAGGTGTCCTTTCAGAGCCAATGAGTTCTCCAGTGCAAGAGGCAGATGTGTCACCTTACACACAGTACAACAATGTGCCATTTCCTCAAGTTCAGCCACAGATTTCATCGCCACCTTATTACTCCAACCTCGGCTTCTACCCTCCACAGCATGAGGAATGGTATTCCCCTGGGATGTATGAGCTCAGGAGAATACCCTCAGAGACCTTTTTCACAAGGGAGACAGAGATAATGGATATCCCTGTGGCCAAAAAGCCTAGACTGGGTCATTCCACAGGAAGAGTGAAAGGAGAAGAGCTCTGTGTGGTCTGCGGTGACAAAGCCTCTGGGTACCACTACAATGCTCTTACTTGTGAAGGATGCAAAGGTAGGATTAAATCAATTACAGAATACAATTCAGCTAATAAGCACAGCAGTTTATGAATATTTTTGAGCTGGGATTGTTCAACCTGGAGAAGAGAAGGCTCCAGGGAGACCTCCTAGTGCCCTTCCAGTACCTAAGGGAGCCTACAGGAAAGCTGGGGAGGGACTTTTTTCAAGGGCTTGTAGTCAGAAGACAGGGGGCGATGGATTACAACTGAAAGAGAGAGGACATTTAGGTTAGACATCAGGAGGAAATTCTTTAGTGAGAAGGTGGTGAGACACTGAAACAGGTTGCCCAGGGAAGTTGTGGAAGCTCCATCCTTGGAAGTGTTCAAGGCCAGGTTGGATGGGGCTCTGAGCAACCTGATCTAGTGGGAGGTGTCTCTGCCCATGCAGTGGGGTTGGAACTAGATGATCTTTAAAGTCTTTTCCAATTCAAACCATTCTATGATTCTATGATGTTATTATTTACACTTGGATCTGGTGTACACTACTCTGTGTTTTCCCCAAGACAAATTGACAGCATCTTCCATCATTGTCCTGTGATTATATAGCTCAGCTGGCCAACCTATGGCTCTTGAGACATCATTAGGTCTTGGTAAACTGAAGAACAGGTTCCATGTGGGGGCCTGGCAGCCTAGCTCTGCTGTCTTGGAAGGTGTTAGAATCATAGAACTGTTGTGGTTGAGAAAGACCTTTAAGATCATCAAGTCCAGCTATTAACCTAACTCTACTGAGTCCAGTGCTAAAACATGTTCCTACACACCTCATCCACACATCTTTTAAACACCCCAGAGATGGTGATTCAACTGCCTTTCTGGGCAGCCTGTTCCAGACCTTGAGGACACTTACAGCGAAGAAGTTTCTTTTAAGTTTCTTCTGTTTGTGCTGATCTCTCCCTGTGGAAGGAACCAAACCCATGGAGGCCCTTGGGAGTTCAGTGCTAGGCTGGCTGTGAAATCATCTGCAAACCCAGCTCAAATGCCTTCTGTAGTGAGGAAGGGTAAACTGTCAGCTCCCACCTGCAGGATGTTGCCAGAGAATCTGTTTCACCCAGCTCCCAAAGGGTACAGTGGGTGTCTTAATGAAAGGGTTTCTGATTCTAGACTTTCTTCTGGGGGTAACCTCTGTCCCTAGGGAGGGACATTCTTCAAGAAGCAGGTGGTATCTCTAGGATAAATGTCTTGCTGCCTAGGAGAACAATATTCACAAGCCAGTGTCAGAGTAAATGGAACATAGAAACTCACTGCCATTACTGGAAATATGATTGCCAGGTATTTTAGCAGAGAGGGACAAAACGTTAAGTTGATGGAATAACTATTATACCTAAAGATTGTTACTCTGAGAGGGCTGTGGTGCATTACAGAAAGACAAATAATGCCCCAGTTTTTCATTCTATTTTGTCAATAAATATTTCATGAACATGGAGCTCACTGTCACTGGGAGTGGGCTTTGAACTAATTTAGGGGTTTTGCTTTATCTATTACATATCAATTTCTGAGGGCATCCCAGACCACACTGGTCAACCCCTCTAGACATGAATGCAGTCAAGGGTTATGTAGTTAATAATTTCAATAAATAAGATACCAGTTTCTTTGTGCTGTCTGTGTGAATATTTTCAAAGCCAAAGTCTCAAAGTAAAAAATATTTTCATTACCTCATACGAATGCTGTCATTAGAGACCAGATTAAATTTTATTTTAATGTGAAGATTCCAAGTAATTATAAATTTGCTTTGTTAGTAAGCTATTCCTAATGTTTAACAACTTCATTATTAAATGTCTTAGCAATTTCCAGACTTAAAAGTACAAACTATAGAATTTGTAAAGAACATTTCTAGGAAAAAGGTTTAAACCACTAGGTAAATACTCCAACTAAAATCCATGGTGAAAGGAAACATGTTCATCTCTTTACTAATTCAGTTTGGATCACTCTATGTAACCATAATTTTACTGCTTTATTGGCATAATTTATTTTATGTTTTTGCTCTGTTTCATGAGTGCAAAATCAATTACAAAGAATAGTACCCTTGATCAAACATAGTAAAAGTTAAATTCTCAAACGATAATGCATTCTGTTTCTACAATAAACTTTAGAGGTGATTAAGGTACCAGCTGATTCAGTAAAAAGATATGCTGAGGATAGTAATTCTGTTTGACAAGCTGAAGGGAATACTATGTTTTATAGACCTCTGATCATTCTAGTGCACCTGTAGAACTTTTCATAATAGTATACACTACCCTCAAAGCACAGTGACCAGACTTGGACTCGGTACTTCAGTTGTGGTCTTATCAGTGCAGTAGGAGAACTACCTCATGTGTCTCGCATTCAAGTATGAGATTAGCCTTCTTTGTGGCAAGAAGGCTGTTAATTCATGCTCAAGGTGTGTCCAAAATAATATGCAGATTTATTTCTGTAGGACTAGTACCCACCTTCCAGCACCCCTGCTTCACTGATATCACGGACATTCTTATTCAAAAGGGGATGATTTGCACAAATTTTTATGGGATTCAGTCCACTGTGATGCATATGCTAATTTTTTTGCTTTTTCATTTCTTTCTCAGGTAATGCATTCAGCAACACCCTACATTCTTTTTATTTTTTTTTCTTGGGCAGAAGGAAAAATATTAAGATCTTATTTATCTTCCTTCAAGAGAATATTAATCTGAAGATACAGGCAGGAGGATATGCTTCAAAATATATTTTTAATACATCTCTACCCATTAAAAAATGAGTATTAGCTATTTCATTCATATTTTATATATTATGCAAAAGCAGATTAAACAGAACATTTGCTCTCATGCAACATTTGCCTGTGATACCATATGTGTGTGTGTGTGTGTGTATGTATTTATATATATATATATATATCTAAGGCTTCTTTGAGGTTTCTCTCACCTCTAATATATCACATTAGAAAATCCTGCCTTGATTGATAATAGCAGTACATTAGGCTCATAAAGAATGAGGCAGTTCAGGCATTGTTACAGCATAGGGAGAAATATACTGTGCTTAAGCCTGCTGCTGTAGAGGGCATTTCTGAGACAACCTTTGCAGACAGACATCGAAGGCTTTCTTGTTTAGCCTCAGCCTCTACAGTGATGCTGGGTTTCAAGGGCCATTTTCAGATGTTACAGAACAAGTGCAACACCTTTTCATGCTTGTTCAATAAAGCCACAGAGTAAGTTCTGGTGAAAGAAAAGCTAGTTGTGGATTCCCTCTATGTAGGCTGGCACTATGACTTTTTGGAGCCTTTAAACCACTCCTGATAATGCTCAATGTCTCTCATGCCAGACTGAAAACACTTCTTGCAAAAAAAGGTCCCGCTTTAATTTTTCCTTGCACTAACACCCACCCCATGGGGCATGGGGGAAAGGAGCATCGGAGCACGTCTTGAGAGTCTGACAGAGCAGAGCAGGTGTTTCTTAGAAATTGTGAACTTCAAAAACAAACAATAGAATTGAAAACCCCAAAGCAGTTGGCCTTCAGGATGCCAAACAGAGATATTTACGAAGCTTTCATATATGCTTTTAACAGCTGCCCTCAACTTCCACAATTTCTGTAAGAAAAATCAGCATCAGTAGCATTGGAGCAGCTCTAGCCATAATTAATCATACTCATGACTAGCTAAGAGAACAAAGCAAATTCCACATTTCCAGCCAAGATGAGCTTTTGTAATGTGGCAAGATCAGATAAAAGTTAGATTGTCCTAGAGAAACCTTCCACTTTTGGGGCTACCCCTTCATAAGTTTAAGAGATTCAATTTCTGATTTACCTCTGAATTTGTGTAAAACTCCTCCTGGTACAGAAGGTCACCAGTAATATTACTGAGGCAGTTTAAGTTCATTTTGAATTATCAGTGAATAACATATAAATATATATAAATTCCATTCATACAAAAAAATCTAATTTCAAATTTAATTAGGAAGAAGTCTATTTCAGAAGACAATGATTCAAGAGTCACTTCATGATAAAACTGAAGCAAGAGTAGGGTATAAATTTTTATGAAAAAATAAATATATTCACTTTTCATTTCACATAATTTCATGCTTTCCAAACCTTTGTTTTCAAGAGAAAATATTGGACTGTTTGAATCTTGTTGGTTCCTTGCTTTTGCATCCATAGTTTTGCATTCTTCTTTCCCTTTCTTACATAATTCTAGAAATTAATTTACTAAAATTTTTCTCTTTGCTCCTTCATGCAAATCTTGTGGGAAAGGTGTGTGGTAATCAATTTGACTTAGAATCTTATAAATATTTGTGCAGAGGTTTTCAACATTTACTACTAAATTATGTGTCATAAATTACAGGATTTCAATTTAGCCAATAAAAGTAATAAATTGTGTAAAGCAGATGCAGTTGCCTTTAACTGAGAATGTACAGCTTAAATCCAGGCCTTTCTCTCCGTTTCCTAACCAGTAAATGGTAATGTATTAAACACCAAAAGAATGATGAACAGAAATAATGCCTGGGGCTGCTGGAGGTTCTACACAATCTGCATTTCAAAAGAGACTGATGCCAGTCACCTGCATTTATCTGAAAAGCAGCTGTTAAAAGAGACAACATGGAAGAGATTTCAAGCAGGAATTACAGACCATTCAGAGAAATGCCAGACCTTCCCTGACCAGGTAGTGGAATGGTTTTACTGGTAGCTACACACTGGTACTTGGAAGAGATGATGCAACTCTAAAAATATGTGCCAAACTTGGGAAATTGTCATCTGCTGGCAAAGTTATCATGCCATCTGTTATCTTGCCTAGATTCAGTGGGTCAGGGTCTGAGCTGAACACATGCTGAAAACACACAGACAAATCCTGCAATGGAAAAAAATAATCAGATTCTCATCTGAATTTGCCCTACGATTTGAGTATGGGAGACTGGGTCTTACTTGGTGCCTCTATTAGTGTGTCAAAATTCCAGATTGGAAAATGATGGTGGTATTATTGCCCCAGCCAGTGGCAATAAGAAAGCAAAGCTTCATTAATACCTCTAGTTAATGTAAATTTATGAAGAGCTCAAATTTGAAGTGCACTATATATCAGTGATATGCCAGAAGATGTTCCAAGGAGCACTAAAGGAACACTAAAAGTTCAGAAATGTTCAAGCCATCATTGGCAGCAAAGACTCTGTTTTTTTTGTGATGACTCTTTCATTCAAATTGCACTAATATCTGGAGCACTCCACATTTTGCTCACAGCACCACTGTCAGAGGTGTGCTAGGCAGCAGCCAAATAGGAGATTTGGACAAGATGAGGAATGGTTCTCTGGATTTCTTGGCGGCTGTAGGTGCAATAGGCAGGTACGATGCAGCTTCCTTATTAAACTCAGGGATAGGTAAGCAGATCAGCATGTGGAGCTTCTGCAGCTCCCAGCAGCTGAAGGAACATTGACAAGTTACACAACTCTCTACACATCCCGTATTTCAGGAACGTCAGAGCACTCATCTACAAATACTGAGAACACAGTTGTCGAGGCACTGAAAGAAACTTGTGGTGCAGCAGAACATGTGACATTCAGAAAACTCAGTGGAGATGGAGGTGGTTGATTACTTTGCTTGTGTGAGTGTTTTCTTTTATCTGTGTCACTACTCTCTTATGCAGGGTTCTTCAGAAGAAGCATCACAAAAAATGCAGTATACAAGTGTAAAAATGGAGGCAACTGCGAGATGGACATGTACATGAGGAGAAAATGCCAGGAGTGCCGCCTAAGGAAATGCAAGCAAATGGGCATGTTGGCTGAATGTATGTATACAGGTATTTGCATCATATAGTCAGAGTATGCAACAAATATTGTATTTACTTAACTAGGCTGGTGTTAATAATACAGCTATGAAAGACATCATCTGGCAGGAGGAAGGCACATTAAAGATGACGTCATGCCTGTGCCTTCTGCGGAAAAAGACAAACGCACTTACAAGCAATGGGATTTAAAAGGTGTAAGAACCGAGCAAATGTTTAAGGAAGGGCTGTCCTGCACTACATGACAGCCATTAGTCTGCTTGAGCAGGAACAAAAAGCAATTAAGGGGCACAAGCCTATGGGAGACTCTCCAGGAGTGAGGAGTTTGCAGTATTGTGGAAGCCAGAAAAAGAAAATCCTGATGCTTCCCTTTGCTACTCCTTCTAGCTCTCTCTCCCTGTCAAGTTCTTTCTAGCCAAGTCCGAATTCTGGCATTCACTCAATGCTATTTTCAAGAAAAGAGGAGGATTGCTGCTAGCAGGAAGTTTCTGTGAATTTGCCGAGTGTGTGATCCCAGACCTCACCCAGCAATCAGGCAAAGCCTGGTAAGGCTTAGCCCTTTTTTATAATCCCATTAGCTGTTCTCATGACTATATAGATTTTCCTGCCTTGTATATAGGAACATAGGTAGAACTATCTCCAGAAATTAAGCTGATAAACTTCAAAAATGTTTCACATCAAAATGAATATTCTCTTCAGACTGACAGCTTATAAATGTCATTGATCTTCACACTGGGTATCTTAGAGCAACAGAGATATTTGAGTGGAACATTAAACACAGTCAAAACTAAATTTGGAGTAAAATTTTGGCCAATCCATTATTTTTACAAGCTTGCTCCTGACATCTGCTCTTCTGCCTTCCGTGAACAGGGCTACAATTTTTTGTTTCTTGATGGGTCCAATCATTTTAGCATACACGTACATATGAAACCAATTTAGGTTCATACAGGAAATTAATCTGCCTGGAATTTTTAATATACTTCTATCCCTCAATCTGATCAGAAGATGTTATATTAACTGTTGGTTTTGTGAGAAACAATAAGCTCCATCAATATTTGGAATGCATTGCCAGCAAATTGTAATTAATCTTTCATTCTGCAAATTGAACAGGCTACAAAGATCCCAAGATATTCTCGTGCAATATGTAAATATATGAGCAGACACCACCACTATGATGACAGCACTCAATGTGTCCCTAAGTGTCAGAGGAAAATAACTCCCCTGTGGTGCTGATCCCAAATCCATTGTTCCAAAAATTTTTAGGGTTCAAAATAGCCTGAGTGACTCAGTGCTACAAAAAAACAACTCCTCACTGAAAAAAATGGGTCAGCGTAAATAATACTGACAGGCCCCACATGAAACTTTTAAACTGGCCTATCGTTTTCAAAAATATGTGAAATAAAAGCCAGTGAATGTCATTGTCACCTGACTCTCTCTGCAATGGAAACACGGGGTATCTTGTGTCGCTCATGACTTAACCATAAGCATTGCTCTAATGCCCTGCAATGAGGATGTTTGGCAGGGTACTTTTTAATGGCTTTTAAGTAGGAGTGTGCTGTATAATTGCTTTTAGTTCAAGGCAATCCAGGACAGTAAAACACAAAGCTTCTAGCAATATAGAGCATTTATTTGAGAAAAAAAGACTAGGAAATAAAAGGTTACCTTGAACTTTGTTTCACTTACTCATTTCGTGGGATTGTAATTGCAAGCTCTGTGGATTCTTTTTCCCCTCTGAACAAGGAGGTAAAGTCTTATAAATATTTATGGCACAGCTACTCAACAATCCTACTCCTGCCCTTTATACACAAACTACAGACAGATCAAAATCACTGGCCATCTATTTCAGTCATTTGCTGTCATTTTGATATAAACTGCAGGTTTCTTCAGTGAAATGTCTACCTAGGGAAGATCCAGGTTCTGCCACTCTTCCTGGAAGGTAATACCTGTTTAATACCCATTGAAACCTAGGTAACTAGGAGGTAAAAAGTAAAGTCCTGTCACTCACATGAGTTTTCCAGCTAACTTAAATGAAGACAGAAAAAGAGTTCAAGTTACTCTTCAGTAGTAGGAACCATGAGAAAAATCTGTCTTACTGCTGAAGGCAAATGTAAACTAAATTTTCTCCAGGAAGGCAGTAGACCAAATCCTAAGCTGGTGGAAAACTGTACAAGCCCATTAACACCACTAAAGGATGAGCTGAATAACTTAGAAAAAGAAATCTATGATGCTGTGAGGCAGCACAAATTACATGGCTTGATACCAACTATTATCTCCATCATTTCTATTCCCCCTTCCCCCCTTCAAGGTATTATTTGCAGGTCTTATTTGAATCATGTAAATTTCCTCTTCTCTCAGAGGTTCAGGTGGGTTATTTAATATAGTGCTTAAACAGGAAATTAAAAACATTCACAACGAAATTCACTGGTTTTATGGTATCTTTGTCCAACATCATATACTCACTGAATGAGCCTCTTCTCCTGCTTGGCATTTTCAAAGGTGAAGAATAGGAAGGATACTTGAAAGAAGCTAAAAAAGAAAAAAAAGTCCTGTGCTGATAGGTTTATTTTTAGATGAATACTTAGTTGTTTACTTTTTCATTTGTGCTTTCTGGCTGTCTTTCATAGGCTGTGTAGGGTATCTATTGTCCCTTTCTTTTGTTAGTTAAGCAAATTGCTAGTTTGCATGACATCCACACAAGGACGTTGCAAGGTACTGAAATGCAGTCTAGAACCAAAAAAACCCCAAAACAAACCACAAATGCAAAAAATCGCTTCATTAGGGCAAGTAAAACTCTATATATAGTCTAATACAATTATATGCAAAACTGGCAAGACCAACCAGGTAACATTTTAAATAAATATATTTTAAAGGTACATTTGCCACTCTGAGTTACATCGGAGCCTACAATTTCATCTTTTGGTCTCTCTGTATAGTGGCAATGTAACAGCTAAAGCCCTGGAGTCCTCTCTTCTGAATGAGCTTTCTGTGCAAAGTTTCTGCTCTACAGCCATAGTATTGCTTAAAGATTATTGAAAACATCCAGGGCCCTTTGTGCAAGAACAGCTGCACCTCGATTACTGTTTTGGATCAGATGAGGAGCACACTTTTGAAGGCAGTCTTCCAATTGTTCCCATTTATTGTGCTTTGGTTTGGGTCTTGGAGCACAGGAAGATTTTCTTTTGGATGAAACTAAACCAAAGACACACTCCAGTGCACTCCCATCACTAATGGGTTTTCTGTCTCTAAAACCAGACTAGAACTGGTCCAAAGCATGACCCCTGACATGCAGATGGTGTGGATGCTGGGTCACCAGCACCAACTGTTTTGCCCTGCAGATGGGCTCCTGCTGGGCTAGGCTACTCATTAGTGTGTACTTAGTACGTCTCATTAGAGTCACATCTAAAGATAATGACACGTTCAGGAAATGATCTGCACAGGTAGGTGGGTTTGTTGTGTGCAAAGGGCATCCATGGGCATGTTTATGTACCTGTTTAGTTCCTGAGACATATATAAATCCAATTGCTATCTGTTGTATTATGTGTTCTAGGTCTGTTAACAGAAATACAATGCAAGTCAAAAAGGCTACGGAAAAATGTGAAACAGCCCCCGGATCAAACAGCCAATGAAGATAATGAAGGTCATGACATGAAACAAGTGACATCTACAACTAAAATATATAGGGTAAGAAAATTCTTGTAATAGTTTGTACAGTAGGGGTTATGTTTGAGCTAAATCTGGCTATTACAGTGAATATGGAGTAATTGCAAACTCTCTGGAGCTCTCTGTATTAATTAAAACTCCACCCCCTGCCAAGTCAAAGAAATAACTGGAGTACAGAAGTACTTCTGATATTTTTAGCCAAAACTCAGTAAAGCATCTGTAAAATTCATAAGGTATTTTTTTTGTGATACATGTATCAGGTATATATCACATACAGTGAGGTCTGATACTGAAGTTTGAGCGTATCTAGTAACTTACTAAGCATTTCTTTATTTCTAAAAATAAACCACACAAACTCATACAATTTGGAAGCTTGTAGAGAAATCCTAGTGAAAAGCAAAACTCCTTTTTGCTTGATACCCAAGTGTGAGAAATAGACATATAGCTTTTGCCTAAAACAATTGATGCTGCAAAATTTCTCTGACTGCATTTCATGATGAGCTTTTTTTTTTTGCCAGTATAGGAGAAAGTAGAGCTTACCCCAGAACAGCAGAACCTTCTTGATTACATAAGGGATTCATACAGTAAACAACAAATACCACAGGAGGTGTCAAAAAAACTAGTAAGTATGTCAATTAATTGATTTTTGAGATGTGGATAATGATGCTGAAGATTATATGGCAAAAATCTTTGTACTTGGCATAAGTAGTTGTGGTAAGTAGTAGAGCAAACTATGGGTAAAATCTTACAGTAAAACATGCTGCAAGTGAGGCAGAATCTCTGCCATTGAGTCAACAGTTAGACCACATCTTTGTCAAACTTAAATGCTAAGAAAATCTCTTATCTCTGGAAACAGTTTTATGCTCGAATCTAAACTTTGCTGATTGGACCTTTGCTTTGTCAATATAGGTAGTGATTTGTGTTTGACTTGCAGACAAGCTTCCTTTCTATAAATACATTAGCCTGGAAGCTTGAAGACCCTTCTTTTTTTTTAACCTAAATTCACAACATTTTCCAAGTTTGGACTGTTGTTTCATCCCTTCTTTCCTTTTCCACTCTACTTTCTAGAAGTTCTGTATTGTCTTTAAGACTTTCCAGTTTTCACATTAGGATGGAAAAAGTTTGGGAAATAAGGAGAAAAGGAAAAAAAAGTTTAAAACAGAGTAATTTTTTTTACAAAACTGTCGTGTTCAATCTTAAAAAGCCAAAACCAAACCAAACCAAAACTACTGTAGAAAAATATTTCTTAAGTCATCAACTTTGAAAACTAAAAGACACTTGTAGGGGGAAGGTTGACTAACTCATGACTAACTCATGGAACTTCTCTCCGAGGGAGGCTGAGGAAGTAAAAAATATATTTAAAAATATATTATATATATATATGTAATATTATATTAAAAAAAAAAAAAAGGCAAATAAGGCTTTTGGTAAATATTATAATATAGAACTTCTATCTCAGGAAGTCCCTAAATAACTGATTGCTAGACATGACACTGAAAGCGAGACAGATAGTCCAGTGGAAAGGACACTGTCTACTTTCTTCTTTACTTCTACTTATTTCTTATGTTACCTTCCAAAAGACCTGGTTTGACAGCCAGTGGAGCCATGTCACAGTGTTAGATAGACCTTTTGTCTGATCCAGTCTAGTAATTCTTGTATTTTATGCTCTTAAAGGTGGAGTGCCTGTGAATATTAACAGATTTTGTTTGGTTTGATTTTTAACAGTTACACGAGGAATTCAGTGCTGAAGGAAATTTTCTGATTTTAACAGAAATGGCTACCAGTCACGTGCAGGTTCTTGTGGAATTCACTAAAAAGCTACCAGGTATACCCAGTATGTTGGGGCAAATTTTGTTATTGCAAAGTTTTCATGTCTTTCAGTTACCATTTGGCAATTGTTGCGTATATTTTGAAGACTACAGAAAATGCCTTCTCCTCTGACACATATTTTCTTCAGACAACATCTAAACAAAAGCAGCTTTGTGCTCCAAGAAATAATGCATTGAATAATTCAAACTCGGTCACTCTGAGATGTGGTTCTCTTTACCTATTGACAAACAAAAGAGAAGGCTCAGAGAAGGGGCTGTGTCTCTAGAGAGATTTTATTCTCATTTATCACTGCAACGCCAGATTGTCTCTCTCTAAATTACCACCAACACTTGTCAGACTCTGCTTCACTCACTTTGCTACCTTTCCAGCAAAGCCTCTAAGCCTCTTGGCCATGACTTCCACTGAATAGCGAGTCCTAAACAAGAACTTTCTCTAGTTGGTGGCATCAACGTTTATGGTCCTTATGGACAAGCACTGAAAACTTGAGTTTATCAGAAGTATTTTTTAACTCTCATTTTAACTTTTAAGTGATGAGTAAACAATGGGCTTTGTTCAGGTTCCTTGTAATTAAGGAAGGTGCGCTGTAACACTTAGCTGTATGGAAGAATTTTCCTGGCACTCCCAAAACATTGACCCTTCCCCTGCATGTCACAGCCTTGCTTCAAAGCCCAGCACTGCAACTGTAACTATATTGTTTATGCTAACTGGGATACTGGCTCTCAGGAAATGAAGAAGGGTGGAGCTTTGTAATGGAATAATTGCTATTTTTAGTGTTGGCTTTGTAGTGGAAGGTGTCCCTGTCCATGGCAGGGGAATTACAACTAGATCATCTTTAAGGTCCCTTCCAACCCAAACTGTTCTATGATTCTACACCTGGTAGGGTTTATCAGCTTTTTGTTTATTTATCTTTTTCTGTGCTTCCTCACAGAATCAGGAAGTGGATATAAAGTGGGTGCCTGCATGGGCAAGTATGAGGGAAGTTTCCCATGATCTTCAGCATCTTGTTCTTCTTAGAACTTACGTATTCACACCAGTTATCAAATTTCTCCTGTTTTCTCCTGTGGGTTTCACAGTTTTCCCCTCCAAAAAGAGAAATGTGTGTTTAAAACACAGCAGGAAGCATTTATGTAAAATAGTTATATGTAAAGTATTAGTCCAAAGGCAAGGTGAAATACTTAACATTAGATGCTTCAAATGCTGTTTTTTGCCATCAGAGCATGGAAAGTGCTCAAAGCAGCATGGCAGTGGGAGAGTCATATAGAGAGCTCTTGTGGCAACACGGCAGGATGCATTAGGGAGCAGCATCAGGCCAGACAAAATCCACGCTATCGGTTATGCTACACTGCTAGATTTTTCTTACCATGTTCCTCTCAAAGTACCATGAGCACTGAATTCTAATTCTCATTATTTTCGGCGAGGTTCAAATTTGTGTCATCTTCTGGAATCTAGGTTTCAACTTCTGTAGCACATGGCAACCCTGCTGACATCAACATCCAAGTTAGGCAGATGTGTAACTCCTCACGTGCAGGAGCTTCAGGACAGAAGCTGGTGAGGATTTTTCTGTTGTTGCCTTACTTACTTCTAATATCTCCTCAGGCTTCCAAACCCTTGATCATGAAGACCAGATTGCTTTGCTGAAGGGCTCAGCAGTAGAAGCCATGTTCCTCCGTTCAGCTGAGATCTTCAGTAGGAAACTTCCTACAGGACATACTGTCCTTTTAGAAGAAAGAATTCGCAATAGTGGTAAGTATTGTGTTTAATGAGTAAAAAACCAGACCACACTATTGCACTTCTGTGTCAGTATTGTGCCCTTGGAAAGACAGTAAAATTGTTTATTAGCACTGAAACAGGTTTATCTGAATGTTGTTCTTTATATTCACTAGAACAAATCTAACTCGCTCTTCAGTCTAAAGTTCATAAGGTAAAGGCTTATTTGTAATTCATTGTGAGTATTATGAAAAATGCTATATCAAATAAACCCAGCACAAATATCCAATGATAACAATGAAAGAATGATGAAATACCACAATTTGAAATTACTCATGTAAAATATCAATATTTATGCTTTCAAAGGCAAAGGAGAGAAAAAAAGATTTTAGGATGTTACTGGAGATGACTGAAGGTAACCACCTATTCTTAGGGTCAGTTCGGAAAAATTGAACCACACTGCACAAGGTGCATATAAGAGTTAGAAATATGGCATGTTCTCAGTATGTTTTCATAAGGTCCATCAAATGCTCAGGGGCTACGATAAATTCTCCTGGTTCTAGACATAAATCTTCAGAATTATGAAAAGCCAAACAGGGTTGGATATTGTTTGCTTCTTGAAACAGGCAAAATAACGTTTTGCATTGTTTTGTATTCTTTGTGCTCCACTGATGCAATTCTGACTTTGCCTTTTTCTATATTGACCATCAAACTTTATCCATTCCTCAGCTGTCTATCATTCAGAATTCACATGCAACAACAATTCTGAATCCGAGTATCTGTCTACAGATTCTGGCTTCTGGTCTTCCTTTTTACTGGTTGCATTTTTTAGTAGTTTTCATTTATTTCATTTATTGTAAGAAGCTATTGTTTGATGGACTGGAAATGGCTCCTGGTCCAGGTTCTGCAGGCAGAGAAGTATGCCAAGAAGGCCAGAGATATTTCCTGTAAAAGGTCATGAGTTGTCATGGATACAAATATTTTCATTAAGAGATTTTTCTATTTTATTGTAATTTTTAATATGTATAAAAATAGTCTTAGAGAAATTAATCCATATGAATACATGATTACTGAAAGCTTCTTTCATCTATTTTGCGTTGTTTTGTATTCTTTGTGCTCCACTGATGCAATTCTGACTTTGCCTTTTTCTATATTGACCATCAAACTTTATCCATTCCTCAGCTGTCTATCATTCAGAATTCACATGCAACAACAATTCTGAATCCGAGTATCTGTCTACAGATTCTGGCTTCTGGTCTTCCTTTTTACTGGTTGCATTTTTTAGTAGTTTTCATTTATTTCATTTATTGTAAGAAGCTATTGTTTGATGGACTGGAAATGGCTCCTGGTCCAGGTTCTGCAGGCAGAGAAGTATGCCAAGAAGGCCAGAGATATTTCCTGTAAAAGGTCATGAGTTGTCATGGATACAAATATTTTCATTAAGAGATTTTTCTATTTTATTGTAATTTTTAATATGTATAAAAATAGTCTTAGAGAAATTAATCCATATGAATACATGATTACTGAAAGCTTCTTTCATCTAATCTATATAGGGATTATCAAACTTCTTGTTCAAGGTGTCAGCTGTTCATAAGAAACAGAAACAGGAAACACTTTGTTCCAGAACATTACAGAAGCCATTAGGTCATACCAATATAATTTTCCTTAGTCATAAATTTAAAATAGCCTGTTAATTCTCTGCAAATTGAGTCCAGCTGAGATGCAAGGTCATATTTTGCAAGTTTGTACTAGACTAATGATAACATAAAAGAACATTACATGTAATAACATGACTATCTGGAATATGACATTGGATCCTGCAGAATATTATTTACCTGATATGAAGAAGATTTTTAAAACAGCATTTTGTGTAGAAGAAAATTTCAAGACAACCTCCCAAGTAAACAAAAAATGAGTTCTGGATGAGAACAAAACCTGGGCTGAGTAGTTCCCAAGAAATGAAACACAGTAGCTTTTTTAGTATACATATATACACATATATCTCTTAATTTTCTTGAAAAAGGCTCCCTAAAACATATTCCCTCGAGTCAGCATCAAGTTTGGAATACAAGAGGAAATACTGCTGCTAGAATTTCTCCCTTCCTGTATTCCAGGATGATAATGTATTACCCAGCTTCCTTGCTGTTGGCTGCATTCTTCTCTTCCATTAATAGTCAGAATGCAGGACAAAAGAACCTTTCCCATGTGTTTTATTTCTTCATGTATTTTATTTCTCCACTTTGTACACATTGAAGCCTACTTTAAAACATTTTCCTTGCCTGCACGTAGTAGGGCTGTGGCAGTAAACAACAAAAGCAGCTTGTAAATCTCAGCATTTGTAGTAGTGTTAATTGCTGCTACTGAACCTATTTAACTGTTAGTGCTACTGCATGGACCCGGAATTCACTCAAAATTTAGGAGTACTGGAGAGTATCTGTCAACCTAGGAACATCCCTTGCATAAAAAGGCTTAAATGTGTTTTTTAAATGCCCCTCTGCCTTCATTTTCAGTTCTGGTAACCGCCTGTTAGTGGTATCTCTTCCTTTGTACTAAAAATGCAAGCACATGGTTTATAAAAGGAAGGAGCTTTACTAGGTAGCTTTGACTCTCATGCTTCCCAAATTTATCTCTCAGGGTTCACTGAATTTTCAGAGGAATCCTGTTTGTCAACAAAGAAATTACCAGAGTTTTTTGTTTTGACTTTAAGAGGTCACATGCATGCAATTTTCCTACACATTTTGCCTTACTTGGGGATAAATTCCAGAATTACACATTTAGATAAACTTAATTATTGTTGGAAAATACCTACTACTTAAACCTTTTGGTTTTTTGTGCTTTACATAATGTCAATTTTCAGCTGTCCTGAGTTTAAACAAAATGAAAAAAAGGCATCCAAATGATTCTGTTATCATTGTTTATACATAAACCTTCTGATACTATTTATTATATGTTTTTCTGACTTCCAGCCTTAACCAGTAAGAACACATGTTACTAGAAACTACAGCTGGCCATGATAATGTTCTAGACTGGTGAAAGAGATAAAATGGCCAGAGGAGATTAAACACAAGTTGAATAAAGAACAAAACCTGAAAGAACTACATATAAATTTGGAGATGGGGAGGTTGCTGTTTTTTTTGCATACACTTTACTGAAAAACAAGACTAAATGCAGCGAACTGAAACATCCTGCAAAGACAATAGAGACTAGCAGAGGAAATGCAGTGATAGCTGAGGTAGAATTTGGAAATCAAATTTATAGGTAATGAATGAAGAAGAAGCTTCAGGATTATTCATGGCTCCTAGTGAGGTCCTAAGCATTGTCAGGCCATCAGTCATAAATTATTGCTGTTAGTTAGAACTTTTGTCCACATATTTTTAGGTGCAGAAAATTGTCACACATGTAAATGTCACATAAGTTCTATTGTCAAGCCTTGATGTCTGTATCCATAAAATCGGGGGCGGGCATCCTGCCTAAAAGTCACAAGCTGTCCAGACCTCTGTCAACTGCCACTATATCCATTTGGAAGACGTGCTCATCGATTAATATTTATGCCTTTCCCAGTCTGACTCTATGGGAAAGATTTATTATTTTTTCCTGATAAAATGCCAGAGATCTGATGGTGATGACCTTTGAGTATTAGCAGCCTTTGTTTTTATTCTCATGCTGATGAGGTGCATTTTTATTTCTTAGCTTGAGTGTATCACTCAAATCCTAGTGCATCCAGTGACTGCTTTTGTTTGTGTTCTTTGTCCGCAAGGTGTTATGGAAATTCTTTTATATTATCTGCTCCTGAGACTGATATCCTCTCTTCCTTAGACTAATCTTGAGGCTTACTGAGAAATACAGACATTTTATTTAGTATTAGTGAGAGCTTGTGCCACTTAGTCATCTTACATGATACTTAGCTGGCACCCTAGCGATTTAACGCTTAGTCTCTTTCATTTATAGCTTGTTTTCCTAAGGACACCTCCTTTCAATTGTCATGAAGAGCCATAGATTTTTTTATTTTATAATTTTATTCCACAGAGCAGTTCTACTAACTTCTGTATTGGGGAATAAAGATACTGTCTGATATGGACACAAACAGAAGAATCCAGACCCAAAGTTTTGGCTGGCAGCAGGACACCTGACATTGTGAAATATACTGTTGCCTTCCTGGATGGGTTGCAGATGCTGAAGTACAGTGAGATCCAAGGAAAAAAAAAAAATATCCACAATTTCAAAACATGGGCAAGTGGCCACATTTTGCCCTTGAATGTGGGATACAAAGTTTCCATTAATTTGGACAAGAGAGTCCTGCAACCAAGGGCAAAATTTGGCACTGGAACAATAGATAACACTTCTTCTGCCTTTGGCTTTTAGTATTTGATTATTAGTACTGAGTAATGGTGGTGCTTCGAAACCCCATTGTGCTGGGTTTTGGGCAGAGAGACAACACTAAATGATCTCCATTGCTGAGTCCAAATAATGTAATCTAACAGAGAGCAGCCTGGCAAGTACCTAGCCCCTTGTTTCCAAACATACCTGCAAATCATAGGTGTCTAACCCTCCAAATGGTCATATGCATCCACATGGAAGGAAACACCACCCTGTCCTGTGACTTGACCCAAAACTGGCACACTGACCAAAACATTAAGCTATTAAGACCAGTTTAAATTACAGGGTATAGGAAAAAGCTTTTCTGTTCATACATTGTACTCCAAAGTCTACCACACAGCCAGTGTCATGTTCCTGAATGACAAATAAATTGATAAAAGTGTTTAAATCATATCTACAGCCTTAATTTATACCTGTGAAAACAAGAACAGATGTTATAAGACCCAATCTCTTTTCTTCTGCATAAGTGTGCTCGTCTAGGCCAAAAATTTCTTTAAATAGACTCCACCTACAAAGACCAGCTCAAGGCAGCTGCTGCTGCTGCTGCTGTGTGCCAGAGTGCACTTCTCTCCTGACTGCAGGCACTCAGGCCACTGCCAAAGGATGCTATGTGGCAACGTCATTTGCATCCTCCTTGCAGGTTTGGTTGTTTGGGGTTTTTTATGGTTGGTTGGTTTTGGATTGGTTTATTTGTCTGTTTTTTGTTGTTTTGTTTTGGTTGTTGTTGTTTTAAAAAACTAAGGTTTTTCTTTGCTTGCAATGACGACTTCACAGTGGTCCTATTGGTTGCTTTTCAGAAGATGGGGTTTTGCTACCTGATTGTGTGTTCTCCTTGGCACACACCAACCTCTCTTTAAAGTTGGTCATTTAACCTCCTACAAGACGATGACAGAGGAGAGGTCAGATGAACATGCTCGACATGTGACCCCCGACACAGTGAACTTGGTCAGTGTTTAAAGGGTCACTGATGCATTTAAACAGGCTAGAAGGCAGAGCTCATAAGCACAGAAAGCAGTTCCAGTAAATGAAACACTGAAAGATAAGATACAATTTTGCAAGTAATGAATACGTTTTAGTTTCATAAAACAGCTCCTAATAAACCCTTGGTTTAATTTCCACTGGCATCTCCATATTTATCAAGAAAAAAGGATCTCTTTATCCATATTAATCACAGAGTGCTAGTTACTGTTAATTAGTGCTTACTCTCATGCTTTCCTCTTGCAATAGATTAATCTATTCCATTTTAATCAACAGCCAAAACAGAAGAGAGAATACTGGTTTCAAAAAACTGGCAATACTGACTAGATAACCCAGCAGAAACATCTATTCCAGGTTTATGTCAATCACATTATTATTTATGGCCTGAAACTGTAAACCTTATGAAAGCAACAGCCAAATGCAGAGAGAAATCATAGCAAGAAAACCCTAAAAATGTCAAGATCTAAACCAATGTTGTGTCTTGAGCTACACATAGGAGTGAAATTCTGCAAGAAGTAAGGGGTGCTAAATGTGTAATGCTCATGAGTGTAAATTTGCTCCAGTCTAATGCCACAAGGTCATACTCAGTAAAGCCCATCTTTCCCCTTGAGTATCCTGGGGTTTACAGCCAGCCATCCCTTCAGACAGCAAAATCAATTAAATGAATTGCAGGGTCTTCTGCAGATGACAGCGTTGGGCTGGTGGTTAGGTGGAAATCTGTGTTATTCAGAATACTGCACCATGCAACATGAAAGTGGGGCATGTTCTTAATGCTGTGAGCTTGCATGAAACAAAGTTTTTTTAAACTTTTTGAAAAAAAAAGTGAAGAAGGAGACACCATTAACATGGGCTAGAAGCTCTGCCTATCTGACACGATACTGTATAGGGCTCTTGTCTGTTCAAAATAGAGGGTTAGACGTAGCTAAATTTCTGTTCTCATTGAGACCAGAAATATAACTCTATTTTATTTTATTTTATTTATTTTATTTTATTTTATTTTATTTTATTTTATTTTATTTTATTTTATTTTATTTTCACTTTTGGAGTATGATTTGGAACAACGACATTTGAAAAGTAATATAATTAATTTCTCCTCTAGCCTTTTTAGTTATGAACATGAAATCATCTTTAGTTCTTTTCCTGATAACCCGAATTGAAGTGACAACATCTTGTGCAGTAGATAAGAAAAAAAAAAAAAAAAGCAAAAAAAAAAAGCAAGAACTATAAACATCTGTTTCCTGCTTTTTTGCTTTCCTGTGGAGCTTATTAAATACAAACTGAAGCATTTTCAATCGCATTGGAAAACAGCCCCCTCTTGTGATGGAACAGCGGTTTGTGTAACGTGCATGCATGATGAAATAACAGGGAAACTCCAGCACGGATGGGATGAAGGCAAATCAGTGAACAAGAAAAAAAATCCATTATTATCCATGATCCTAGTGTCAAAATTGCTCATTTTGCATTGTTTTGTTTATATTTGTCTTCTGACATATAAACGTTCAAAGATTTCAAAGTTCTGTTCTCTTTAATAGAAGCAGTAAATCATTTGCATTGCTGAAACATCCCTTTTTACTCCCTTTCACTTTTCCTGTTTTGTTTTATATCTCTGTTTGGAGCACAATAATGCAGAGAAGCTTTTTGACGTGATCACATTTGCTTCAACATCTATAGTCACTTTTTTGCTTCACCATCTATGTTTTAGTTTCTTAATGTTAGATGCTAAGCTTTCTGGAGCAATGTTTGTTTCACTGCATGTTTATACAGCGCCTGGACTGGTGAGGACCTGAATTAGTTATTCCATCCTCTGTTCACCAGCATTATTTTCGTCCCGCTTCTGCTATACTGACAGTAGGATGTGAGGAGCTTTGTGGTCAGCAAAACAATGAATTCATCCAGCTGAAAACCAGTCTGACCCAGAAAAAAAAAAAAAAGAGAGAGAGAAAAAAAATCAAATTATGAATATGAGAAACAAATGATGGGAGTCTTAGTCACAGCCCACTTCCTCCCATTTCCTGTTGCTGCCAAGATGATCATGCCCAGCGGCATGATACCTTGCATGGAGACTTCTAAAAAAATCCAGTTTTTCTTGGACATTTCTCATGTCATTGCTGATCTATTCAGCTCCACAGAAGGAATTTGTTTGCTCTGCTTTAGGGCTCAGCTCGATTTAATTTTTTTTCCTTTTTCTAGATTCATGCAAACTTGAAGACTGGTGTGTGATATGTTTGTGTTCCTTGCAAATGTTTTGTTGTACGGAACTGGCATTTCAAACTGCACAAGAGAGAGACAGGTGGTTCCCCAGAAGCTACCAGTAGCAAAGTGTTCAACATTTTAAAGTTAATGCTGATGACTAACGACATAAACCTTGCCAGAACATTAGATGCTATGACTATTGTTTGCTCTGTATAAAGCTCCAGCTGTGTTACTAGCTTCCACAGGATGAGCTGAAGTCATATATTTCTGCTTAATTGACTTATACTCTTAATAATGTTGAACTCGCTATGAGAAAGACATTTGTAGCTTATAATCTCAAGTAAATGTAGGCTGCTCATGTCAAATGTTTAAATACATAATTCAGCCAAAAAACAAACCACGCCCTGCAAGGCCAGCCTTTCACTCTTGTGGGACACTAAACTATTCCACTGAATTAAACGAATTCTCACTATCACAGTAAAATGTGATTTGTTTGTAGCTAAGGCAAGCCACTTCATGTTTCCTTTCCTTGAGTTCCACCCACTGAGTTTCATTTTGAATTTCCCCTGTTGGAGACACTCCTAACCTCACCAGTCCTGGACTTCAGCATTCTGTTGCGTACAACACTCAAAATCACGTTTCATGTGTGTATCATGTGGTTTCCATACCACGCTATAAATGCTTCTCCCAGAACAGCTCAAAACTAAGAGTAAAATGACAAGAAATCCTATGGCCCTGATCTGTGGAACAGAGAAGGTTTCCATCATTTTGGCCAAGACCAAAAGGTTTCTTGCTGCAAAAGAACTGGTTAATATTTCTATATCTCATTGAGGCCATGACTTCAGAGTTGCAAGCAGCCATTGTCAACAGTTTATTGGCTGCTCCAAATGAGTCACACACCAGTTTAAAAAAAAAAAAAAGTCACAGGACCTAGTTCTCTTTTACACCAAAAAGCAGAATATAATACATCTGTAATTTAAGTCTAAGTAAGAGCATTGTGACCTGATGACGAAGTCAGTAAAGAGGAAGCCCCATTGGCATGCCCCAGTTTGGTAACCCAAAAGGGTTTTGCTGATGGCAAGAGAATCACATGATCTCATCCTTAAACTGGGCTGGATTTTAATTTTTTATTTATGGCTCTGTACTCTCTGTACACAAGTTTATGTTTTAAGGTTGCAAGCCAGCTGATCTTTGACTGCAGGTAATCCTAGTCCTAGCTAAAGTTTCAGGCTACATAAAATGAACAATTAAGAATCTTTATGGAGACAACTGAAGCAACTGCCCAAGGCAGTTAGCTGTGGAGTTGGGCTAGAATTAAGCCACACACCCTGAGAGGTTTCCATACAGCTAAAGATAGTGAACACAGGGACTGTTTTGCAATCTGTGAGCACTGGAAACAGAAGACAGTTAGAGGATCAGCAGACAATGTGAAAAACATGTATAAGACTTGTTCTGAAGAGCTGGGTGGGAAAAGGTGTAGAGGAAGAGGAATTGCTTGAAAGAAAGACATGGAAACCATGCAAAAAGAAATTGCCAGCACTTGCCTGCTTCTACTCTGATCTGGAAAACAAAGATGTGCTTGCATTTTTGTATCTGTCTTGTATCAGGCCCAATTTGTGTAGTAAATTTTTTTCCACCAAGATAGTCAAGACTTCAAATACTAAATAATTGCTGGCAATAAACCAGACTATTTCAATAATTAAAAAATATTGTAACGATTTTTTCCTCTCATAGGTATCTCAGATGAATTCATTACTCCCATGTTTAATTTCTACAAAAGCATTGGAGAGCTGAAGATGACACAGGAAGAATACGCACTGCTCACAGCCATAGTTATCCTGTCTCCAGGTAACTTCGAATCCAGAATTACATATTAGAGTTGTTTTGGAAAGAAAGCATAAGGAGTGTGACCTGGGACTTGTAAAAACTTACATTCTTAGAGTAAATGAGCATGCATGCTTATTCACTGTATTTGGCTGTTAAACAAGGGAACAGGCACTCAAACTCCAAATGTCCTGCTACACCATCTGTTTCTTCATATGAGGGAAAAAGGTGCATAAATACCCTGCTTTAAAAAAAATTACTGGTATCTCTTAACTTCTTAGCATGACAGGCTTCTTCCTTCAGAAAATCCCATGTGTTTACATGCATATCACTACAGACCATTGTGGAATGTCACATTTTTTAGAGGAAAATTGGGAAAGCCTAAAACTTAGCATAGAGAATAGCAATGAAGATCTTCAGCCTTTATAGAACAAATACCAGCTCTCAAGAGCAGGACAGTAGCAAATTGTCCTCTTGACTATAATGTGTTGGAAACTGACCTTTCAGAAGTACCAGCACAATAGCATCTCAGACCTGATTACAGGCTTCGCTTTAAAAACTAAGTATTTGGCAACATAAACCAAACCAATTCTACCTAAAAAACACACACAAATTGTGTAGTGCCTCAAGCAAACTAACATGGAAATGGGAGAAGAGAAGCCTGGTGATTCAAGACAAAAGACACTGAGGTTTCCAAACAGGGTTTCAAGGAAGATGGGAAGGTGAAGTAATTCCATTGCTTTTTGAGTGTGGCTCAGGAAATTTTTTTACATCAGAAATTTCAGTGATAAAATAACTATCCTCCTCTTTTCCTCTCTCTTCCCACACCCAAACACAAAAGTCCATATTAACAAAATAAATCAGTTTTCTAACAAAGAAATATAATTTGAGGATGAAGATGTTTGCTTTCTCCCTAGTGACTTGCATGTAACTCCTCCCTACTGGCCAAATTCCCCAGCAGTACTATATCTCCATGAGCTTAGGTTGTGCTGCTCAGCTCTTGCAAAGCATGGCAGGATGCACTCACATGCAGAATTGTACTGGGAGATGACCACACAACCTCAGAGAAGCATTTCTGAGTTAAAACTCTTTGGTTTTTGAAAAAGTTCAAAGTTTTCTCTAGTTAGAAGTGGGAAACTTATGTGAAAAGGCTAAAACAAAACCACAGCGTTAAGCATTTTTATTCCCTATGAATCTGAACAAAAAAAACCAAACCAAACCAAAACCAAAATTTAATCTTGGTAGATGTGAACATCATTGTCCTGTGTAAATATTTGAATATTTTTAATTTATCAGTGGAAATATTTATGTAGTAGCAGAGAACACAGTTGCTAATTACTTCTTGTCTTTCAAAACCGTAACCAGATCGCCAGTACATAAAGGACAGAGAGTCTGTGGAAAGGCTTCAAGAGCCCCTGCTGGATATTCTACAAAAAGTCTGCAAACTTCACCACCCAGAAAACCCTCAACACTTTGCATGCCTTCTGGGCCGTCTTACAGAACTACGGACATTCAACCATCATCATGCAGAGATGCTGATGTCATGGAGAGTGAACGATCACAAATTCACACCTCTTCTCTGTGAGATCTGGGATGTGCAGTGATGGATACTTCCTTGTTTTATTTTAGGAGAAATAACCTTTTTAAAGGACCACATAACATTTATTTTCACAGAAAAATATCCCACAGTGCATTACATTTTTCTTCACTGCATTTTTATAGAAAGATGCCATGGATTCATAAAAGTCATTTTGGTCACTACACACAGAATATTGCACAGCTAGCAGATCTTCTCACGTGGCTATAACTTTCTCTGTATTTATGTTCTCTGATCAGA